GGTGTGCCAACACAGGTTCGAGCTTGTACTGTACTAGGATCATCTACTACTACTACTACTACTACTACTACTCCTACTCCTACTGCTACTGCTACTGCTACTGCTACTGCTACTGCTGCTGCTCCTGCTGCTCCTGCTGCTGCTACTGCTGCTGCTTCTGCTGCTGCTGCTGCTGCTGCTCCCACTCCTACTCCCACTACGACGACGGTGACGACGACTACAACTACGGCTACTACTGTTGCTACGAATGGTCGTTGTTTGCGGTTGTGGTTGTCGTCGTCGTATCATGTGTGTTTTGGCTGCTTGGGCGCACATGAAATTTCCCTTTGAATTATGCCGACAGGTTCATATGAAGGCAAGCTGAATTCCAGATGTGCTAGATTTTGATCGGCCTGGTAGCACGTGAGCAGCAGCACGTGGGCAGTTACACTTTGCTTCCCGAGTGGCATTCAGCATTGTGCAGCGAATTTTCCTTGCCCATTGCATGGCGCAGCTCCGAGAGCTGGATTTGTAGCTGCCGCGTCCACATGGACCGCTGGCTCCGACCTGATGACAGAGAAGGCCTGAGTGTAATACATTCCAATGACAGCGGCATGGACATCAGCGCCAAGGCCAGCAAGTCGCCTGAGAATGTCTGAACCCCACCTGCAAGACTCCAGGGCAGTGCTGAACACGCTGTAGTACTGTATGCTGTATGCTGATTTTGCTCCGTCGCATCATCATGTTTGGTACACAAGTTCAGGCAGTATCAGATATGCCCATTGTCAGAGCGAACTCCGTGTCATTTTGTGCTGGTGGGTTCTCGGTTGCCGTTGCCCCTGCAGGACAAACGATGGCTGAAGCTCACAAGGCTTGAAGCTGCCATCTTGGCCGGTCTGCCGGCCTCTCAGGGAAGCAAGGGTCTAACTCCAAATGCATCCCTAAATCCAAAGATTAGACTCGTTGCCACAACCCGTGACGGACATATGAGCTCGAAGCTGCAGACCTTGCATTATTGGTTAGTGCAAGACGGCGGCGTGGCCAAAATTCGAGCGAAACGCGCATTTTGTATGGGTGATGCGATTTCGCAGGTGCCGAAGCACTAGAAGCTCACACCAACTTTTCGTAAAAATGCATGTTCGCGAGGCGTTTGTTCGAATTTTGAATGTTTTCATTAGTCGGTGGGTCTTGAAAATTCAAGATCTTTTTTGCTTGAAACACGTGCTCTCACCACAGCGCGGATGTGTTTTGCACTGCAAGCAGTTTGTGTTTTCGGAGGCCTTTTTTTCCGGAGAGTGCTTTTGGCAAAGGATAGCTAGAACGAGAAAAGCTGCAAAATCGTGCTCCGGCCAAAGCACGGGGGCATTTGACACCTCGAGTGGCAGAGCCATGTGGCAGGTTTGCGTTGCTTAGAGCCCGGTGCCGTTCTACAGAAAGTAAGGCCTTGAAGCTTCTAGGAACAGCCTTCACATTCTCCTGACACAATTCTAGTACCGTTGGGCTTAAACCATTTCTGAAAAGTCTTATCTGACGGTGCCCTTGAATAGATGGTAAGGCCTTAAAGCTTCTAGAACAATTTGCTACTTGAGCTAGTTCAAGAGTTGTTGACTGCCTTTGGCCCCCAATAAAAGCTAGATTATTGTATGACTGCATGGTACTAATGGCCTGGGGTCTAAGCCATGTCTGAACAACTTTATCTGACGGCCAGCAAGAAGCGTCCAGGATGTGCGATCTGCATAATGCACATCTTCATGTCTGCGCAAACCGGACGTCAATAGGCCCCTCCCAACTTCCCCCCCCCCCCCCGGTCCGAAATGTGTCTGAACGCACAGGCTCAGCGGCCAATAGTTGTCTGCAGCGAGAGGTGCGTTGAAAAGGTACTGTGGGAGTCTTATGCCCATAAGCCGTCAAGCTTGCTCGATGCCCCTTCCGCTATTGCCAGCAATCAGCCCAGCTCGCACGTAGACAGGGAACCCATAGAAGCGAGCATGCCCGGACGCACAAAGCAGAAAACTAAACGAGCGACCGTGAAAGTCAGTTGTGCACCCCATGCACCGAAGAAGTTATCCTGCAGGCGCTTGTGAATGCCACGGCATTGCCATTGCGTGCCGGTGGAAGCCTTTGATGCACTGCGATGCACTGGACATCACAGGTGGTAGCGGAACAGTGGAGGCGAGCCACCTTTGTGGATCACCGGACGTGCTAGTGCTTTAGTCTTTGAGGCACCAGTGATGGGAACCGTGACCAGGAGCGGCCGGAGTTAGAAAGGTTGATGGGTCAGACCCGGCAAGCTCTAAGACAGGGCCGTGCAAAGCTGATCTCATGACACATACGGTAGGCAATTCCCTCGACGATTTGCTAAGGAGGAGTGGGGTGCGAAGCTTTGTGAATTTCTGTGTGGTGAAGCCGAAGAGGTTTGCCAGGGGATATTGTCGGACAACTTGACTTCAGAGAGCGGTTACAAGCTGATCACAAGCTGATCGTTGAGACCTCGGACAGTCGCTACATAGATCTTGAGCAACTTGCACGGCGCAAGAGATGGGCAGGAATTCCTGTGCGTGCCTTGCGGTTGAAGCGGAGTTTGAGCATGGTTTGTCATTGGATGGCACCCTCGGTGAAAAAGCAGTAGCGCATTGGCAGAATGGCTTGACTGAGCGGAAAGGACGTGTGGAAGGTTGTGTTAAAGAAGCCCATGTTGTGTGGCCAAGGAGTAAGCAGGAGGTACAGCAGTTGGTGGGCAATGTGGATTGCTCGCCATGTCAACATGTGCCAGGTCTTGTTACAGCTGACTATGACCCTGTTATCAACTCTGGTTTTGGCCAGCTGACAGTAGCTCGTATTTCGGCATCTTGGAGCACAGGACACGGCCAGGGCGAGGTTGTTTCAAGCCTGGGATGTTTTGCGTATTTTGGTGCAAGCACAGATTTGGGAATGAGAATAAATGCCATTGGCACGGACCAGCTGTGGTCGTGGGATGCCAAGGAGATCCAACGAGCTTCAAAAGTGTGGGTAGCGCAGGGAACGAAGGTGCCTTGCTGTTGTCCTGAGCAGCTGTAACGCCTCATTCCTGATCAGAAAAGCGACGATTCGATTGCTACCAGCTGATGTCGTGCATGTTCGGCGCGAGGTTAGTGCAAGAGGAGCAGGTACGTTCCATGGTTTGGTGGAACAGAAAGATAGGAACAGCTAGCCGTGGAAGAAGAAGAGAGAAGTTCCGGTGATGCAGCAGGCAGAGGTCTTGTTAAGCCGGATGTTCAGTCGCGAAGCATGCCAGTGAGATTTGAGCTGACTAGAGAATCAGAGTAGAAGTGATGTATCAGGCCCAGCTCGTCTTACGGTGCATGCATGTAGGGGAAGAGTCTCCTGCAAAAAGGGTGCGAGATCAAAAGGATGTGAGCGAACTCACTCAGGCCATGAGGCGGGATACCGATAAGTTGGATGGCTGTGGCACGGTTGCGTCAATTCGCGAGCAGCCGGAAGTTCGAGTGCGCATCCCAGGTCCTGTCGAGTCGGGTAAAAAGTTGGAGGTGCAACTGAGTCTTTATTGATGGTTTCGACGACCACGGGAGGGAAGGAGATTGTGATGAGTACTGTTGACAAGGAACGTCAGCCTGGACTTAGAGAAGGAGTTGAAAAAGCTCCTAGATAGTGGGCATTGTCATTGTGGCTCGCAATATGAAAGCAGCTCAAGAGATCCGAAGGAAATACAGTGATTGGAATTTCAAGCATGGTCGTGGTGGGTAACTCAAGAAATCCAAGTTCGTGACTCTGGAAGCGGAGGTTGGAAAAGGTTCCCAGGATAATGGATTTCAAAGCTCGTTGGTGCATCAGGGGGTACTTGGATCCTGTGTGCTCGATCTTGATACCGATGCGCCAACATTGTCAGCTGAGGGCTTGGCTGCTGCGGTGTTTGGCAAGCCATCAGTGGAAGATACAGACTGCAGATGTTGAAGGGCCATTACATCCATTACCACGTGGAGACAAGTTGCTGGAAAAGCGTGTGCGACGCTTCAGAAAAAAAACCAATGGGCGAAGTGGACTGCCTGATTGAAGCCGTTGACTGTTTATGGGTTAGCGGATGCTCCTAAGCAGTAGATCTTCGCTGCCCAAACTGGGATGTAAACTGTCCAAATTGGATCCTTGCGTGTTTTGGCATTTCATAGCAAAGCTGGCAGGAGCTATCGCCTGGCGCTTCGGAGTTAAGCAACACTTGGGTAGGCATCTAATCAGGAAGCTTCGTGAGATGTGTCCTTTCAAACACGAGACAACAGGAGAAGCTGAGTTTGTAAGGAAAGTTATGAAGAAGGAGACGAATGGAGAAATCACGAATTGCCAAACGGATTCTGCTTGCCAGTTGATGTCGATCAGTGTGAGCCGTGAGCGGAAGAAACAGAAAGAGGAGACGTTGACAGCTATTAACTGGCTCGGCGCAGCGCAGGAAGCAGGCTAGACTAATCAGCGTGGTGTTCCTCGCTGAAAGAGCATGTGGGCCAAGGCAAACTGGAACACTCGCTGGACGCTAATCGTTTGGTGAGCCAAGCAACAGACATGGCTTCTACGTGCATTCGAGTGCTTCCGATTCCTCCAGAAACTCTGCAGTGCGTGGCGCTATCTGACGCGTCATGGGCCAATGCAGCAAGCAACTGCAGACAAGCCGGGTTCCTGGTCGCAGCATGTGATCCTTTGTTGGTTCAGGCACACTGCGGAGGCTTCTTGGTGAGATGGAAGATTTTCAAGCAGGACAGGCAAACGCACGGGCGCAGAGCTTTCGAGTGGAGCATGCTGGGCTCGTTCAATTTGGAATGAAGCAATCAACGAAAGCTATATGGTTATACGCTTGATAAAGTATCGTGGGTTCAAAAGATACCCGTGACAGCGCTTGCGGATTGCAGGCGGGTATATGCTCATGCCATCCGCACCTTTCGGCCTCAAGGATAGGAGGATGGCGATCGAGATGCTACGGGTGATCGCTGATATTCGAGCTCACAACATTACATGTCGTTGGGTGGTTACAAGACACATGTTCGTGGATGCAAAGATTGGAGCTCTGTTGAGTTCCCGTCGTTCCCGTAGTCGGGCCTTGGTGGGGATGTTTTGTGCTTGCTGAAAACGACGTGGTGCATCAGTAGAGTGAAAACGCAAAGACCGGACCTCTTCACGAAAGGAGGGTTTGGTGCATGCCGATTTTAGGGGCGCAGGTTGTGTGAATGCCACGGCATGGACCAACGGCCCCTGTTGTGTACCGGTGGAAGCCCTTGCGCGGTGGAGCAGAAAACGTGAGTGCCTGCAATCGCCTGTGTCCCGTTGAGATCGCAGCGGCTGCTTTTGTTTGTCAAATACTACAGTTGTCTGCCGGTGGCAATCTTGTCGTAGGCTTCGCTTTACTACCGCCTAACACAAAAGCAAACACAGTTATGCAACGGTTTGATTGTGTGTGATTTCGGACGAGATCGTCAGTACTAACATGAGCGAACAAGATAGGGCCTCAGATAGGGGCACCGTTGCGAACAGCGTCTTTCGCTCATGAAGCAAATAAATGCCGTGGCTAGAAGACAGCCTGTGTTATCAAATTCGGTTTCCGAGGATTCTCCTACTGTGCCTCCCATGGACGGCGTTTCTGTTCGCTGGGACGGACCCAGCTGTCTCCTCACAAAAGACCAGCGCGAAGGCAAGGAAACCAATAAAATACCCTGTGCACATAATGAAACTCCACCCCGAAAGTCCCAGCAACAAATAGTTGAGTCGCCTCTCAAACTCTCATTGCCGGCCTGTTGCATCTCCAATCCACTGCTCCCCTGAGATGGGTCTATACAAAGAGCGCAAGGCCTCGCGCAAGGGGCTCAGTTCCGCGGTGGTCAAGGATTGCACCATGGCAGCCGCAGCTTTGTTCGGCACAACAGGACAACTCTATGGCGATTTCACCACCGATTCTCCTGATCGTGTTGCAAGATGCTGAGGGCGTTCACCGGGCAAAGCTGCTGCTGCTGCTGGTGGGTCGAAGCCGAAGAAGTGCGCCAAGCATTCACACTTTCACACCAGTTGCATGTGCTGCCATGAGCGACAGTGGTCGTGGTGTATGGCACACGAGGGCGGATAAAGGCAGCAGATGCTTGTATACATACAGTTCGATGGGTTTGCAAATGAGCATAGCAAATGAATCCATGGAGTCATCTCTAGTCAAAGCATTACAATGGGCTTTCAATGTCGCAGCTGCCGGCACCAGGCCGCCGCGACAACAAAGGAAGGGGCGGCCACTAAAAATGAAAGCAAGGTGCCACCGGGATCTGCGGAGATGCGAGTCCAGTCGCGTTGTCAGAGGTTGGTCTTCAAACGATTCCAGGGTCGGCTTGTCGTCGGCGTGGGCTTTACGACTTAGCGGTTGGGACCGTGCATACATGACACACCAAAACATGCTGCCATCTTGATGCAAGAGCCGTGGAAACGTAGTGAAGGAAAGACATCGTAGACTTTCAATGCTCGCGCTCGTGCGCACGCCATCCTGGTGCTTCAGGGCGAAACTCGGAATCCCACCTGCAGCTCTGAACACCAACAGTATCCAACAGTCCAGCAAAACCGAAGTGCCCCTGTTCTGAATCCCTATGCCTATGCGTTTCCTTTGCCCAAATGGCACCAGGAAAGCAGCTCAACGCCGACTTCCTCAGTCAAGGCCGGCACCGGGCCCGCGTCGCTGGGCGAGCTAGAAGAATTTGTTCCGGTTTCGCATGTAAGCTTTCGGGGTTCATTGTTGTTTTGATTGTGCGAGATTTGACGTGGTGGAATTGTGTGCTGAGCTGCAGGTTTGATTGACGTTGATCTCAGGACGTGATCTTTGAGAAGGCCGCAGCGGCTTCTGTCAGCGAGCTCTCGGGGCCGACCGGAGTGGTCTGACGAGCTTGACAAGGCGAGGTCAACTCCGCTGCGACGGGCCCCTCGAATGGCCGAGCTCCGCATGGTGGACACGAAGCATCGGGAAAACCTCAGCGGTAGTGACCGGTGGTGAGGAGGAGCTTACCACTCAGGAGCCCTGTCGTAACATGAGGCTTGCCGTACCACGAGCAAAAAGTGCTGCTCGTACAAGCTTTGGACTTGCAATGCTCTCGCTGTGGTGCGCCATCGTACCAGCAACCACATGATCTTCACTTGGCCGAGTGCCCGTAGCAAGGATGCATTCGACAAATGCATGGATGGGCTACCACAGCCCCTCCTGTACATTCGGCACTTGATAGCCCGAGATGCGGAGACAATAGATTACACTGGCACCCATTCAACCTAGCCGACAGATGCAGCATGAAATCTTGCTGCGGCCTCATGAGGAGGCTTACATCAAGGAGACCAGAAGCAAGAGATAACATGCAATGCTGTGTGGTAGCGCTTCAACCTGTGAGCTTCTGCAGGAACACAAGTTGGATCTGAAGCGATTCCACGGCATGGATCTGGTATTCGAGGCGCGCATGCGCTTCCTGGAGATGTCGCGGCCTCGAGCCCCAAAGAAAAGCTCAAACTAGGAATGCCTCGAGGTCTCACAGGCACTGCCAAAGTAGAGCGAACGTTAGCAACAGTGGATCTGGCGAAACTCGCAAGTCCAACCGATGCTCTCGCCGAGGCCTCCGGATGAGCGCGCCAAGCTTTGCCCTGGATGGTTGGAGGAGTCTGTTGCTGCCTTGTCGGGATATGCTGGACACTGTCGTGGTTTCTACTGTAGCACCGACGGACGAGAAGTGTTGCGAGCATGTTCCTGGTTGCATCTCTGCATCAAGCAAGGATTAATTTGCGCAACAGGTCACGCTGCGTCGATTTCGTGTTGGCCTGATCTCTAGCAGGCCTTATTCGATGAGGGCCCCAATGTTTGGGCCTTGAGTGTATTTTCTGATCCTGAGTTCTTTTTCGTTGAGGTCCCTTCTTTTGCCTCCACGCTGCGGAAATCTTGCTTTTGTTTGACCTTGTGAGGTTGCTTTTAACCCGTGCAGAGATTCTTGTTCAACCTTGGGTCTCTTTTCCAGCCGTGTTTGCCGACTTTCTTGTGACTCTTTACTCTGACCTTGCCTTGTATCTTGACAAAACGCAAGAACATGGGTATGCGCACACATGATAAGCATGTCTCGAGAAAACCTATGGACGACTGAAGACAAGTCAGAAATCAACAGAGTCTCGTCCTTCCCCATGCAAACAGATGACTGTCTATCCGCGGCGCGGCACCGGCATTTGGATGTTATGTTATGGGAAGATGATTGTATGAAGACCGGAGGTGTTTGCCGGCCTCACTAGTATGCAGCCTATACAAAGCAGAAACGGCAAAGCGATAGTCACATGTGCGTTCTGTCTCTGGTGTCCGCTTTTCCGTCTTCTTTTGCGAAGCCGGCCCGCTGACGAAGCCAGACCAGCTACATTGCAGCCACATGAATACCCTACCTAGCCAAAAGCTTTGGCGCCGATGTTTCTGAAGCAGCTGCGAAGTGAACTCGTCTTCAAAAGCCGGCTTTGCACGAGCCCATATTCAAGACTGCACCAGGGATGGCAGCTTGATGTACACCCCTGACCAGTCGAGGGCAGTGGCCTTTCGTTCATCTATGAAAACGTTGATGACTCGCTGCCACAAGACATCCATGGAGCTGCACTCTGACTGTGATGTAGGTTAGTGAGCTCGGGCTGCTTGCATGATTGCGGATTGCAGGAAGACCAACCGTTTCCTGGCCAAGCATCAAGCGACGGAAGAGTGATTGCATCTGGATAGTGACTGGAGACACTTTGAAGTCTCAGGCTTTGGCAGGAAGGTTCTATCCCGCTGTCATCCGTGTGCCTTCGCTGCACATCGCAGATCATCGCAGCAAAAAGCGTCACTATGGGCCTCAGCTTTTCCGAGGATTGAAGGAGCGGTGCAGGCGGCGCAGGCCGCTCCTTTTCCTGAAGCACCAGTTGTACCTCTGCCGGTGTCTGAGTTTGAACTTCCTGGGGAACGAATACTCTGAAAGTGTGCAGATTCATGATGCGACCGGAAAGCCTTGCATACAGTTGTTCGAGCCTATACTTTCATACGCTGTCATATTCCAGTGCCTGACCAGGTACGTATCGTAATATGCAACAACAGCCTGCCAGAATGATGTATTCAATAGGTTGCCATAGCGTACAGCAGTAGGCCACACTACAGAACGTACTGGCATAATATGGCGAACCTCAGAATGCCACCATGGTATATAATGGCACATGTAAAACAGTGATGGGCTGGACAACAAAACAACCATATCAAAGAACATTGTGCGATAGATTACAACATGCAACATTCATGCCGACCACTGGAAAGTCCTCCAAACCAAAGGCCGGCCATCGAAGATGCACCGGCTGGCGGCGCCTCGTCCGTGGCCTCTGCGCGCGGGGACGCTGGGGAGTCGGGGGCCTGATTACATTTTGAATCTGCAGGATTTCTAGCTTTGGGGATTGCTGTGTGGGGTGCAGGCCTGCCAGTTTGGGCGAGTTGTTACAGCAAGTCACTCTAAGGGTCGTGGTAATGTTCAATGTCAGACTTCCAGCATAAATGCACGCAGGTCTTGCACTGCGCAGGGCTAGTAGCGTGATCCAGAGGGCAGAGAGAAAGCATGCTATGCTCTTTCAGTCTTCTGCCGGCGTCGTGATATGGTGCATCCATCCTCGCAGCAGACATCTAGCCTTTCCTCACTCCGCTGCCCTCCAGCCCTAGCCCCAAACTTAAATCCGACCCGATGTCTCTGCCTCACATTCAGAGAGGAGTACCAGTCGAGCCATGGGTTCGGAGCATGATTGCCCGTGCAATTCATTCGCGATGTGCTTCAAACCTGAAAGCCTGAAGTGGCATTCGAAGATCCAGTTCACGCTACCTTGAGCCTTTTCAGAGCTGATGTCAGACAGCAACTTAGGGTTTACAGAATTTAGGAACTGAGGGTCTTAGGGTTCAGAGACTCAGAGACTTTAGTTTATGGGGAGTTTAGGGTAGTGTGGCATGGTTGTGTTGTATCTCCTTGCCTCGTAAGAAAGTTGATTTTCTTTACCTGTTCATGCACACGGTGGCAGCAACAAGTTTTGTTGCACCAGCCCTTTGAATGCGCTACATACCCACAAGCACGGAAACAAAGGACTGTTTGAAAACGATTTTAGTGGTCATTGTCAACGCTAAACCCCTGTCTCTTCACCAGTCAGGCCCGGTGAGGAGCCTGCACCGGAGCCCGGCTCAGCCGGTGCTGAAAATGAAAGGAGTCTCCGAGGATGATTTGGAAGGTTTGGGGGTCCAGGGTTCCGGTGGACATAGTTTGGGGTATTGGCTTGTTGAGGCCTTCGTCTTTTTCTTGGGACTAGCGGGACGCGAGGTTGCAGTACAGAGAGCACCGCAGTCAGAGTATCTTGGGGGCTTGGCGATGAAGCAGTTGACGATTGTTTTGCTGACATACCTTCCGTCTGCCGCCGATAGCAGTGCCGACCCCGTCATGGGTCGCATGTCGAAGAATCACTGTGCCTACGGTCTAAGAAACGGTGGAAGGTAGAGTTTGTTCCGGGGCAACCCAGACCCGAATCTCTTCGCGAGAGCAGGGTCTGGAAGCATGCAAACAGGAACGTCTGAACGGTGGTCAAATCCTGCAGAGCCGGGCCATCAGCAACCTTGGAGCCTGTGCACCAATCAATGTGCATGGCTTCATGTCCTTTGATGCTGAGCACGATGCCGTCTAGCTCAGTACGTTCCAGTTGTCGGGACGGCACTTGGGCGTGCAGCAGCGGGCACGAGGCATAACACACGACGCAGCACAGGGCAATAACTTTTGTCGGTATACCACGCACACTGAGCCGCAACGTACATGAGGAGGCCCGCAATGGGCTGCCAGCAGCTGCAGCGGCGGCAGCCGCAGCGGCAGCAGCAGCGGCGCCAACGGTAACGGCAACAGCATCGACAGCGACAACCACAATCACAACCTGAACCACAATCACAACGACAACGACAACGGTAATAGCAACGGCAACAACACGGAAGGAACCAAAACAGGAGCCTCGAGCCCCAACACCAACAGCACAGCAATTGCAGCCTGCTTTTGTTCGTGTTGCAGGATTTGAAGGAGACAAAATTCTCTCATAGATTGCTCCTGGTCTTGACAGGGGAGACGGAGGGGCGAGTTGCTGCCCCCCTTGTTTGTTCTTGTTGGGGGGCGTAGGGTTGGTCTGCTTGTTGCTTCCTGCTATGTTTACACGAGAAGACGAGACAAGATCTGGTGCTGCATCTGTTGTGCTTGTTGTTAAGGAAGCTGCCAAGCCATATCAGTTGCGAAGCTTGTTGTTCCCTTCAATGGTTCTGGAATTTTTCTACACTGTGCCATGATACCACTTGTGTCTCGAACGGGTGCTTATCGAATCGCATCGATCCATTGTGCAAGAGGGGATCCGCTAAAACGCAGTGATGCCACGTATGTGTGTCTCGAACGAGTGCCTGTGGAATTGAGCATCTACATGGGGAATGGCTGGTTTTGCTATGTCGTGCTGCCACTCGTGTCTCGAGTGGGTGCTGGAAGCTTGGGTGGGCTCTTGGTTTCCAAGCCACACAAGCGGTATCGTTCAGGGTATCGTTCTGGTTACGCTCAAGGTATGTTCTGGGTCCACATAGGATACATATTTTTGAGCCCCCCATTCCAATTCCCAGGCCCACACACACCCACACATGCACATGCCCATAT